TTTCCAATATATTATACGAAAAGGAGGGCTAACAAGCGAAGAGAATTACCCCTACCAAGGAGTAGATGGCAGTTGCAGTAGCGAGAAGGCAGCATCCATTGCAGCTGAAATAACTGGGTATGAAGACGTGCCAAAGAATAATGAAAACGCTCTCCTGCAAGCTGTGGCCAAACAGCCAGTATCAGTTGTTGTTGACGGTGGTGGGCAGGATTTCCAGTTTTATAAAAGTGGTGTCTTCAAAGGGGATTGTGGGACAGAGCAAAACCACGCGGTTACTGCAATTGGATTTGGTACTGACAGCGATGGGACTGATTATTGGCTGGTGAAGAATTCGTGGGGAACCAGTTGGGGTGAAAGCGGGTATATGAGGATGCAAAGAGGAATCGGTGCAAGCGAAGGCCTATGTGGCGTTGCCATGGATGCTTCTTATCCGACTGCATGAGAAAATGCAAGGGTCGTGTGATTAATATTAAACTAAATAGTAAAAAGTGTGTGGTACTTTATTATATGTACGGTTTGGAAAGTTCGTAAACACCGTATTTGTTACTATGTAGCTTTTACGGTTGTGTTTAAAAAAATAGATTTTAAAAAATTATTTTTAGTTGTTATTAGTTATATTTAAATATCTGTTTCGTTAAAAATACAATTAAAATTATTAATAAATAAAAAATAATTAAAAAGTATTTAATTAAAACTATTATTGAAAATATTATTAATAATAAAATGACTAAAAAAATCATATAGTAATTTTGTAGTTTTGAATTATATTAGTCTGCATGGGATTATCAATACGTCATTAATACAATAGTGCAATGTTCAGATCCTATTTTTATTATTCTATTAAACTAGGTAAAATCTCATCTTAAACATAATCCATTTGAGAACATCTCTAATATCCATTGCTTTGCTAGCCTATAATGACATCAGTTAAAAAATCTTCTCTTCTCTTGAGCTAACATTCAAGTTAGTGCAAAATAAAAGAAATGAATGTTGTAAACATGCTCAAGGTATTGAAAGTTTGTTAGCTACCGATATTAAGATCTTGTTTGTAGCTTCGTCGACATTAGTAGATTATAGAGCCCTTATGTTTTATATCTTATAAGAACATAATTGATGTTGCATATTTGGTGAGATTTTGGGATTATAACATATATGTTAAATATTTAATATAATTATTTTTATGCTAGGAATTTTATGAGATGTTGGGTTTAAATATTAGTTAAATCCATGATTACCTAATGTAGAATTTTTTGTTGATACTTATTGCACGTGTGCGGTGTCATGACAATCATCCACTTTGTTGGTTTGGGTATTTATCTAGGTAATCAGGAAAATAGGGCAGGTAAGAAATTCTAGTCTTTTATTCGTGGAAAGCGCGAATGAAAACCGCTACCTAGTCTTTTGGTCACTAAAAAGCCTAACTGATCTCAGAAATTGAGCACGGGGACTAGTTGTGTAAAAGAAAGGTATTAGCACCCCAAATATGTCTTACCTAAAGTAAGTTGCATTGTTCGATTATCTTATAAAAGCTAAGATATTGTTGTGTTTTCTAATTATTGGTCTGTCCAAAGTTAAAGAAAAGTCTTTCCCGATAAGGAGATCTTTATCTTATCAGATAAATCCGGATTGCTCTAATGTCTATATATAAAGAACTACCCTTGAATATCAAGAACATGTTTTACACATAAATTTGAAATTCTAGATACTAAAAGAAAACAAAATATTTTTTAGGCATTTTTAAAAATATTAGCTTAGTTCTCACGAATTTAATAAACTAATTATTAAGTTAAAATGCATGCTAACTCATATTTTGAAATTTTTTGTTGTACGAAAATATGATTTAATTTTTTTCAATCTTTGAAAGACTTGGTCGTATGCATGAAAACAAAAACTTTTTTTCTATATAAAATTATTTTGCAACATTTCGAAGAAAATCTAGTATTATAATACTCGATTTGCTTTAGCCTAATTTTTTTTTTTTGTTTTCTTTTCTATTTTTGGACTGAGACTGACTCAGTTGACCATTTCGGTCTGGGCGGGTGTTGTCCAGCCCAATAAACAATGGAGAAGCTCTTTACTGTTTACATGTAATATGAATAGTGGGGAATGAATTAATTCACTCTCCACTGTTCCCTTGTAGAACAGTGGAGGGCATCCCCAATTGAAGATGAAAAAGTAAAAGGGGGAGAAGAGAGAGGTTGACTAAGCTTTACTTGTTTGATTGTTTTCCTTTTTACTAGTCTTTAATTTTAGCTTGTATTTTTACTACTTTAGCATGCATTTTAATTTTGCAAAAAAACCCAATTTTAGGTTAAGTAGGGAGTAGCGATCTGCCTCATGACTTTCAGTCGAGGTTCAGATTTGTGAAACATCTAACTATGAGTTGAGTGATTACTCGGTAATGACGGTCACACTATACCCCAACCATTCCTTGTAAACCCCTATACTACCTTCACGTGAGGTGGTCACCGACAGTTCATAGACCTTTTTAAGAACTAGATAGAAATCCTACTTATCATATAATGACCTAGAACATGAACTCCCTATATAGTCATTCTGTAGGTTTTTTTGGTCCTCATACCTAATGTGCATGAACATACATTTGCATTCATACATATTGTTGCTATCTAATTTTTGACCCATGCTTTTGATAAATTTTTAGAAAAAATCAAAAATACCAAAAAACAACGAAAACCCCAAAAAAATGCATTTTGATATATTTGCATCATTTTTAGCGTTTTCAACGTCATCTTAGAAGAATTTAAATTTTTAAAGGTATTTTGAATGTGTTCAACTTTTAACGTGTTAATTTTACAATCACTGATTTTTAAGACTTTGATATAGCTCACTTTAAAAAAAATAAGAAAATATAAAAAAAATGAGAAAAATCAAAATTGCAAAAAAAAAGAAAAAGAGAAAAGAAAAGAAAAAGAAAAGTTAAGGGACCAATTTGGAAACTTGGGAATATTTCTTCTATTAATACTGCTACAGTGAAATAGAAAAGGGGGAGAGAAATTTACTCGGGGGAAAAATTTTGGGGAGGAGAAAAATTAAGAGGAGGGAAAAGAAAAAGGGGTGACCCAAGGAAAGAAATTTTTTTGGGGGGGGAGGGGGAGAAAAAAAGAAAGAACCCTAAACCTAAAAAAAACCTTTCTCCCCTTGCAATCGGAGTCCCCCTTGGCCTTGAAAGCAAACTAGAGAAACCCCACACAAAGAGGCAGAATAACGCTGCTCACTTTCTGACCCTAGCCTTCACCTAATTTTCCTCTGCTAGTCATCAACACAGTGATGGCCACCCGCTCCATTTGAAGAGAAAAAAACTAGAGTTTCCTCGGAGCTCTCCAAAAAAAAACCAAAAAACCTCCCTCACTTTCCTTCTCCTAGCCGGCTACAAATAGCCCCCTCACTCTCCAAACCACCATAACTTAGCCACAGTTGTCGTTTCTCCCCCCTCCTATGGTTTTTAGACCCTTTTACGGTCCTCGTCTCTCGGCCTCACCAGAGCCGCCTCATGTTTGGCTCCTACCCCAACCAGACCTCACAGATCGTCCCTCTTCATCACTAGCAGTCCTCTACTGCCTCAACCCTTGTTAAAAGAGAAAGAGAGGAGAAGGGACTGAGCTTAATGTGGTTTGTTCCCCCTCCTTCGACCCCTGCTTACCTCAACGCCGACCAAAAAAGGAGGAGTCGACAATTTACCCGATCCAGCAGGTATCCGACAGCGCAAGTCACCGGTGAGCCACTCCTCACTCCACAACAAGTCAGCCACTTGAGAAGAAGGAAGAACAACAGATGGAAAACAAAACACAAGCAGATCTAAAAACAGTGGAAGAAAAACTTAAAACAGACTTGCTTGTGTGTGTTTTTAGGTGTTTTGTAGGTAACAGTGTTGTTCACAACCGACAGGAGGGTGAAGAGGGAAGGAAGCCATTACAAATCTCCCCACGCTATTTGGATTTCACGGTGGCGCGAGGGTTGCGGTGGCACATGGAGAAGATGCGCCGCCACTACTCCACAATTCCTGAGGGCCTCTTTGTAGTTCCTGGACTCTTTAGGGACCTTTTTGTAATTTTTAAATGTTTGAATATGTATTTAAATTTTTTTAAAATGTTTTTAATTTATGTTATGTTGTACAAATTATAACAGAAAAACATAGTAAAAAGTGATGTGGAAGTGTGTGTTTGTATTTTTATTTATTTATGTTATTGAATTACAAAAAGACAAAAAGAATTAATTGTTTAATTTGAATATGGTTAAATATCTCAAAGATAAATAAAATGATGTTATATTTTCCATGAAAATGTAAAAACATGTTTCTACATATATTCTGGGATTTAACAACTGATTTATTAAAACCTTAGAATTTGACTAATATTTCAAATTTTCAAATCACATCAAACTACAAAGTAGCTTACCTCAGGTAGGGTGTGCTAAGGGTGCTAATGCCTTCCCTAGCTATAACCAGTCTCTTACCCTCTAAGCTCTGATAAAGACCAGCGCACCCGGGTTTTCTAGTAGCCCTCAATTAAATACTAAATGGTGACCCCCAAGAACCCAAATCAAGCAAAGATAATGAAAAATCGCCAACCGATCGTCGCCAAAGAGTCCCCAAAGACATATATCTATCCATTATTAATAACATGTATACAAGCAATAGGTTGAAATATAGGTCCCCAAAGAGTCTACAACACCCAACTTCGAGCAAGAAACAAGGAAAATGAAGAGCATACCCATCGTGACGCCCATTTCCAAGAAGAGTTAGAGTCTCTAAAAGCAAGCGTGGCTCGCCTCACTAGCTTACTAGAGCAAACACTTAGAAATGCATCTGGTGAAGGTACTTCTAACCAGCCTGCTATTTTTGTCCAGCCTCCAGCAACAACTTAACCCGAAGAAACAATGAGTGAACATAGTCAAGAACCTCTACACCATCCAGCATTTATGCACTCAACAACTCCGACACTAGCCCCCGTAGTCATAGATGCACTTGCCAATAAGTCCCATAAGACCAAGTTATCTGATGACATTGATAAAGTGGCAACTCTAGAAGCCTGAATTAGAGTCATTGAAGGGGTAGACTTGTACGATCTAGTACGAGCAGCAGAAATGTGTTTGGTCCTAAATGTGGTTATCCTGAAGAAGTTTCATGTTCCTGAGTTCATCAAATACACTGGAACACAATGCCCTATAACTCATCTCAAATCCTATTGCAATAAAATGACAGAAGTAGTACACGATGAAAAACTATTGATGCATTTTTTCCAAGATAGCTTAAGTGGGGCGACATTAAGCTAGCATATAAGATTGGACAACACCAAAATCCACAAATGGAAAGACTTGATGGATGCTTTTATGAAGCAATACAAGTACAATATGGACATCACTCCTGATAGAACCAGTTTGTCCAATCTAGAGAAAAGGGATAAGGAAAACATAAAAGAATATGCTCAAAGATGGAAAGACATAGTTGCTCAACTATATCCCCCACTATTGGACAAAGAGATGATGACTCTATTTGCTAACACGCTCAA